TGTGTGTAGAAGGAACAAGTTAGAGGCTCAAGAAGAGCTAACTTTGTGATTAAAGCTACTTTGCAAGAATGACATGTTAACTTTGTGCCAAAAATGGAAAGATCACTTGGAAAATGTTTAAATAAAATTGTCCATAGCTCACAAGTTTTTGTAAGCATTAAATTATGGTGAGATTGTCAAGTCAGAAGGCCTGCAACACAAGATTATGCAGCATAGCATGTAGATTGGGTTATGTATTCTTCACCAAAAATGATTTGTAATTCAAGAATGGATGTCCAGCTTCATGCCTTTGAATTTCCTAGCTTAAGTTTGATAAATTCATGCTCTTGGATATTTTGGAAATCTGGAAGCATTGTCTATAACTTTCATGTTGACGATTTTGGATAAATCAATTTGGAACCTAATGAAAATTGGCCAAGAAGTTGAGACAAAAAACTGACCAAAACCTGTTGAAAATTTCTCTAAGTGTTTTAAGAAAAAGTGCACGACTTCATGGATTCTTAACTAAAAATAAATAATTTCTAGGACTTGATCAGTAAAGCAAAGTTGTAGATATCATCAAGATCTTCAACTTTCATGTTGAAATTTTTCTTTGAATTATCTTGCATCTTGGTGAACAATTGGCATGAAGTCATGAAAAAAAATAAGACTTAAAACACTTAGAAAATTTTCTAAGTCTTGAAAACTTTGACTTTTTTCAAAGACTTTTGACTTTCTTGATTTCTTGATGATCAACATTCATATTTTTACATGTCTTGATGAATTGTGATCTTTGAAATCAAATCTTGATAAAAAAAGTCAAAGTTTGACTTTTTGTGCATCAGTTGACTTTTCTTGAGAGATTGTGATCAATACTTGACCAAATGATGCATATGACTTTAAAATGTTGATGTTGGCCAAAAATCAGGATGTTTGAGTGTAGGTTGACCACAGATAACTTTTTACCTAGTACAACTGATTTTCAGTTATCTGAGCATTTGACTGAGCAAATTTGTGATGCAAAACTTGAAACTTTACATGAGTATTCTTGGAGGTCTATAATGATCCATGAAAGTCACTTGAGGCTTTATAAATCTAATTTCCCTTGAGAAAACCAAAACCCTAATTTGAGGCATCAGTGTTCAAGAGATAGTTTGTCCTAGTCAACACTTGTGCAAGCTTGAGCCATTGAAGATCTTTGTGATAATTGTCTTGAGAAATGAAAGGGCAAATTTTGGGGTGCAACACCTATCTTGGATGAGGATCTCTATAGAATAGTTCAGGTGGATGCAATCTTCTGTTGTGGGAATGTGGCTCTTGTGGAACCGACAATATTATCTTGGATGGTGTTTGGCGAGAAAAGTGGACCCTAACTTGTTTGAACTCCGCATTCGCGCAGCCGGTCAGAATCCACTCGCGTGAAGTGTTAAGGGGGGTGGGGTATAGTCATGGAACCAATCAGCTAGCCCCTTGTAGTATCTTGAATCGTGGGATTTGTCGTCCCTTTTCTTTTCTACTTTCCGATAGGATGTCGAGGGTTCCTCGTTCTTTGAAACTTTCACATTTTCACGGTGCCGCGAGTCTCACACGTTATTGGTATCTTCCTTTTCCTTGTACTGGATGTACGCTTGTTCCTTGAGCAAGAGGGTATCCAACATTGCAGGAGTTTCTATGCCAACTGCCTTGGCAAAGTCACTATGAGGGCGTAAGCCTCGCTTGAGGAGGTACTTCTTCATCCTATCTGTCATGGAGACCTGGACGGCTTCTTTGTTGAATCTTTCAATGTTTGCTCGGAAGGACTCATCCTTCCCTTGGATGATCGCCTCCAGCGACGCTTCTGACTTGGGGTGGCAGCGAGAAGCTATAAAGTTCTTGGAGAATTGTTTCCCAGGTTCTTATAGGACGTGATTCATTTGTCGGACAAGCTTTTAAACTAAGTTGTGGCTCCCTTCCTATGCGTGGTAGGGAAGAGGAGACATTTGATCACTCCTCGAACACCTCTGTAGTTGAGCAAGGCATCAATGTTCTCGATATGCTCGTCAGGGTCAGTGGTTCCATCTTCCCAATCGTGGTGGTTTCTCGAACCCAACGGGCAGAGGAATCTCCATGGTTTCTCAAGACAAAGGATCGCAGGGGTCATCGTCGTTGCTTCGATCACTTGATGAGGTTGGACAATAACAGGTGCCTCCTCGCTGGGGGTTGTTATCCCAACAGGGACACATGCTCCTTCGATTACGCCTTGGTCCAGGTGATAGTGAATGGTCGTTTTTCAGTCGTTGATCACCCATCGTCTTCTTGGTGACTAGGGGACATCGCTCTTTATTGGGAGACGTGCAACCTTGTTTCTTGATGAAATAAACCTCTTTCTATTCCCATGTGGGAAGACGGCCACGCCTTGGCGATGACGGACTACGGGAGTCATGACGCTGGTGTCTCCGAGGAGGGGACTTCGATTGCTTATTTTCCCAAGCCTTAATCATTTTGCTTTGTTGTAGGATCAGTCTGTTGGTTTGATTAAGGGCAGCGAGTAGAGCTGCCATGGTCGAGTCAACATTGGGTGGAATTGGAACTGGTTGAAGGATTACTGGAAGTTCCTCTTCGTTTGACATCTTAGACCTCTAGTTCTCTAAGAAATGAATGTCTTCGTGATTGGCGTCTACCAAGTTGGGAGACGTGATTCAACCATCTCTGATGTCGGGGATATCCTCAAGATGAGGAGGTTCTTCGCTCTCATCCATCTTGTGGATAGGGGAGAGCACACTTTTTCTAAAAAAGTGGTTATCATCATGGTCGGCCTTGATAGAAGTTGTGAAAGTCGCTTTGGTCTTCAGTTTTAAGGGAAAGGAAGACGGAGAATACACCTTCCCGTAGACAGCGACTCTATTCTTGCCGGTTGATCAGAACCTGAAGTGGGTCGGGAATATGAATTTTGCTTGGCTGAAAATTTGAGGAGAGGGGGGGGGGGGGGGGGGTGTACCTGCAATTCACTCTGACGCTCAAGTAAGAAAGAGTGCAAAGAGATACAAGAAAAAGATTAGGGTTTTCATAGTGAATATTGGATACATGACCCTCACAAGTGTGCGGGTTTATATAGTTCCCCCGTCGCTTGGCCATTGGTTCCTATTTTTAGGCCTAGATATTTGGTTCCTCAAAAATATATAACTTCCAAGATTCAGTCAAAACAGACAGTCATGCTCGTAACTAGCCGTTGCTCCGAGCAAGGTAGAGATTACGGGCATATGCATTATACATGTTTCCTGGTTGTTTGTTCCACGTGTATCAAGCAGATTTGGAGGTAGTTGTCAATGCGGGGAGGCGCATGACTCATGACATCGTTGGTATCTCTATTAATAGGTGCAGTCGACCAAGTGTGCACGACTGAAGGACCATAGGTAGTGGGTCAAAGTTGTTGGACTATGTTGAAGGTAGAAGCAAATTGAGTCAATTATAGTAATTGGATTAGTCCAGAACTATATATATATATATATATATATATATATATATATATATATATATATATATATATATATATATATATATATATATATATATATATATATATATATATATATATATATATATATATATATATATATATATATATATATATATATATATATAAGGTTTAATTTCAAATTTATTTTTTATCTAATTTAACATAATAAGATTCTAATTATTACTAAAAAAATTTTTGAAAAAAATCAATGTGATCAATGGTTATCAATGAAAACCGTAAAATAAACAACTAAACTTTATTTAAAATAAATAAGGCAAAATACTCATTTTGGTCTCTTCACTATAGGTTATGATTCACTTTGGTCCCTTATCTTTTTTTTCGTGTTAAATTGGTTACTTAATTTTCAAAACGATGCAAGCAAGTCCCTTTCGTCTACTCTGTTAGTCAAAGTCCGTTAAAAGTCTACGTGGCACATTTTACCAACGTAAGTGACGAAGTTAGTGTCAGAAAAACTGACGGTAAAAGTTATTTCTGGATTTTAATTGTTGTTGTTCATCTTCTTCCCCAAAAAATCATTCTTATTTAACATCAAACCCGTAAATTTCATCAACATCAAGTCCATAGTGATAATTATTCTCTTATTCATGAATCTTTCATTAAATAAAATTTGGTTTATCAAAAACCGCTTTTTCCAAATAACTTCACAGTTATGGTTCCAGAAAGTCGCATGTCAAATCTTGCAACCCTATCTTGGAATTCTGCAAAAGCTATCCAAGATTTAATGAGTATTTAACTTTATTGGCTTACTTAACTTATATAATGACCACGAAGATAGGTTTCTTTATAGTTTTGTAGGTTATGGTTTAGAATTATGAATCACATAAATATGAGTATGATCCTGTTAAGCGTGTTTTATTAATGTTGCTGCTGAAGTTATTGTCAGACACCTATGACTTCTTAGAACTTGGTTGTTTTAAGATTACTTAGGTGAATAATTGATCTTCTCATTAATGTTATCCATCTAGGTAGAAGTTCAACGAGGATTGTAGATTATGGAGGTGGTTTCTGAGTTAATGTTCCAAAAAATTGAAAGAAAGCTATTGAATCATGTTCTTATTTGCTTCAAGTAAAATATTTTCGAGGTTAACCGGCACGTGCAGACAAACAACGAAGAAGCCATTAATTTTATAGGAAATTTGAGTTTGAAATTATATCACACCACCAGATTGCTATGTTGTCATAAGGCACGTAACTCCTTGTCCAACAAAGAAATAACATTTAATGTCAGTTATTTTGGGTCAATTCATCAAAGATTGTTGCATTATTTATTGAATTTTTCCATTGATGTATTACACTAAAGTTTTCTATTTTTAATGCTAGATTTTAAATAGAAAACAGACAAATTATTGAACTCGAGTAGTTGATGAATTATTTAAAGTTTTCCATTCATGAATTATTTCAAGTTTCCCATTGATTAATTATTGAATTTCGTGCAAGAGATTGAATTGTTGTGTGTGTCCAAACTATTGGTCATTTGGTTAAGTTTTTTTTGTTAAAATTTGAAATGTTTGGCTTCTTTTTTTTGCTTGAACTTGCGTGGCAGTGTACTCCTGGAAAGGAGGTTGCTTGGAATATGTTGTCGTTGTTCACCGCGTCATGTATGTTGTATTTAAAGAGAAGCTTCATGGATTTATTACTTAACAATGGCTACATGAATGACATGGAAACTCTGGTGCATACTTCCACTGTTTTGGAAATTGTTGTTTATGTGGACATCCTTCTTAAGGTGACACTTGCTTTTGTTTATAAATACATATTGCTTTCGTTCAACAAACTAACAAGGGGGCACCCTCACAATGAAAAAGTTTGGATAGCTTTTGCAGAGTTCCAAGATAAGGTTGCAATATTTGACACACGAATTTTTAGAACCATAACCGTGAAGTTATTTGGAAAAAGCGGTTTTTGATAAATCAAATTTCATTTAATGGAAGATTCATGAATAAGAGAATGATTATCATCCAGGGTTTGATGTTGATGAAATTTAGGGGTTGATGTTGAATAAGAATGTTTTTTTTTGGGGAAGAAGATGAACAACAACATTAAAATCCAGAAATAACTTTTAGTGTCGATTTTTCCGATGCTAACTCCGTCACTTACGTTGGTCAAATGTGCTACTTAGATTTTTAACATGTTGGTGCAAGGTAATGAAAGGGATAAGAACAATGAACAATGAATGATAACAAAGAGGACTACTATTGTATATCAAATAGAGGAATGAATGAGTTACAATATTGATAGCCTAGGTAGCATATTTATACTAAAATTGAAAATTCCAAAAGGCCCTATTAAAGAATAAGCATTGGGAATTGTAGACATTAACTAAATTATATTTTCAATATCATCCCTTAATTTAGATATTTTATCAGAAGCTAACAACACCAATTTCATCTCTCAAGCAAAGAAATTAACCTGTTTTAACTGTCTTTGTTAGAAGATCTGCAAGCTGTTTATGAGTGCTACAATACAGAACTTCTAACACTCTTTTCTGCACTTGACTTCTGAGAAAATGATACTTAGTCTCAATGTGCTTGCTTCTTCCATGTAGCACTGGATTCTTGGCAAGATCAATTGCATACTTATTATCAATCATCAGCTTCAGAGGTTCCTCAACTTCAACCTTCTAATCATGCAAGAGATTCAAAAGCCAAACAGCTTGACAAGCAGCTACAACACCTGCGATATACTCAGCTTCACATGTTGACAGAGCCACGACATTATGTTTCTTGGAATTCCAGGAAATAGGACCTCCTAGAAATTTAAACAAGTATCCAGAAGTACTTCTCCTGTCCACTCTGTCTCCGCACCAGTCAGAAACAGAATAGCTTACTAATTCTGATCCTGTCTTTCTTTCAGAAGGAAACAACAATCCATATCTCATGGTTCCCTTGATATATCTCAGAACTCTAATAGCAGCTTGGAAATGGGACCACTTTAGATTACTCATGAATCTTCTAACCAATCCAACTGCATAACAAATGTCAGGTCTAGTATTACATAAATACCTTAGAGAACCAACCAACTGTTTGAAGGTTGTAGAATCAACAGAATCACCATCAGAGTCAGAATCCAATTTTTGATTGGTTTCTAATGGTGTCACAACAATTTTATAATTCTGCAGCTTAAATCTCTTCAGAAGTTCTAGATCATACTTTAACTGATGCAGAATAATACCCTTCTTCCAGTACAGAATCTCCATCCCTAGGAAATATGTCATTTTTCCTAGATTTGTCATCTCGAACTCATTCATCAGAACTTCTTTGAACTTCTTTATATCTTCTGGGAAGCTACCTGTTAGCAAAATGTCATCAACGTAGAGACACACCAGAATCATATTGTTATCAGAGTGTTGTACATAAACTCCATATTCCATCTCACATTTCTGAAACCTCTGCTTCTTGAAAAATGAATCAATTTTCAGATTCCAAGCTCTAGGCACTTGCTTCAGTCCATACAGAGCTTTATTCAACCTCTATACCATCCCTTCCTGATTCTTTTTCACAAATCCAGGAGGTTGTGACACATAAATTTCTTCCTTTAATGGACCGTTCAAAAATGCATACTTCACATCCAGATGCATTAAAGGCCAATTTCTATTTGTAGCTAAAGCAATCACTAGTATGATTGTTTCATGCCTAGCTACAGGCGCAAATACCTCAAAGTAATCTAGCCCATGTTTATGAAGAAAACCTCTAGCTACTAGTCTAGCTTTGTGCTTGCCAATTGAACCATCTGGCTTAAGTTTCAACTTAAAAACCATCTGACGCTGATGGCTTTTTTCTTATCTGGAAGTTTAGTCAATTTCCAAGTTTTGTTCCTTTCTATTGCCTCAAGTTCTTCTTTCATGGCATTAAGCCATTCTTTCTTCTTGAGAGCTTCTTCAATGCCCACTGGTTCAGAATCTACTAACATGGCACACTGAACGACTTCTCCTTCAGAGTCAACTTCATTATCCTGCAGCATGTCAAAATCTGCAAACCTTTTTGGTTTTTGTCCGATTCTCTGTGGTCTTTGAGCTTGTCCTGAAGCTGCACCAGAACTACTACTTTCAGAGTTACCACCTCAGAGTTTTCCCTTCTAGAATTATGATCACCATCAGATTCTAGATCATCATCAACATCTGGATCAAAATCAGATCCATTGTCGGAATCTTCTTCTGACTCATCTTTAGAATCTTCAGGATCTTCAGAATCAGGTTCATCTTCTGAACTTTCTAAAACATCTTCAGAGGATAACTCTGGTGTTGGCACTGCACCAGAATCTGATTGATATTTGTTCCAATCCCATGCTTCAGACTCTTTCACCACAACGTATCTGTTGACTTCAACTTTATTAGTTTCTGGACAATAAAGCTTACACGCACATGTACTGTGGTACCCCACCAGCAACATTACTTTGCTTTTATCATCCAGTTTTTTTCTTCTAGCTTCTGGAACGTGTTTGTAACAGACAGAGCCAAACAACTTCAGATGACTGACACTCTGCTTATCTCCAGTCTATTTCTCTAACGGAACAACTTCCTTCAATTTCTTTGTTGGACACCTGTTCAGAATATATGTTGACGTGGCAACAACTTCTCCCCATAGCACGTGAGGTAGCTTTTTCTCTTTCAGCATGCTTCTGGTCATATCAAGCAAAGTTCTGTTTCTTCTTTCAGCAAGAGCGTTGTGCTGAGGAGTATATGGAGCAGTAACCTCATGTTTTATTCCACTCTCCTCACAGAACTTCTGAAACACTGTAGAGTTATACTCACCTCCACCATATGTTCTCAGAATTTTTAACTTCCGACCACTCTGCTTCTCAGCCTTCACTTTGAATTTCTGGAACTCAGTAAACACTTCATGCTTGAACTCGATGAGTGTTACCCATGTCATTCTTGTGAACTCATCCACAAAAGACACAAAATATTTGTTTCCTCCAAGTGAAGGTACTGGAAATGGTCCACACACATCAGAATGTACTACTCTCAGAGCATGCTTCGCTCTGGGGGCTACTTCTGATGTAAATGGAAATCTAGGTTGCTTTCCTTTCATGCATATCTCACATGACTTTTCAGACTTCACAATCTTCGAAATACCATGTACAAGCTTCTTAGAAAATAGATGCCCTAAGCTTCTATAGTTCAAATGCCCCAACCTTTTATGCCACAGCTTACTGTTACCTTCAGCGCCTTCTGCACTAAGACACGTTGCTTCAGTTGTTTCTACATTTACCTTGAATATTCGGTTGCCTCCTTGTTCATACTTCATAATCAACTTCTGATTAGAATCATACAACGTTAGAAGATTGTTTTTCATAACAACTGAGAAACCTTTCTAAATCAACTGACCTACGCTCATCAGATTACTTCTTATACCAGGAACATACCAAACGTCTCTGATCAGAATGTCTTTCCCATTCTTCACTCTAACTCTAACATCTCCCATACCTTCTGCATTAAGATACTTATCGTCAGCACATCTGATCTTTGTTCTCCTTCTGGAGTCAAAGTCTGTCAGCCATTGTTTGTTTCCAGTTAAATGATTTGAACAACCAGTGTCCATATACCACCAATCTTCTGAGCATTTTCCATCAGAATCAAAGGCCATTAGTAGTACAGGTTTATCATCAGACTTTCTCTTAGCCATATATGCTTCTTCTGATTTCCTTTCCTTGTTTGACCTACAATCTCTGGCAAAATGGCCGAATTGTTTATAAGAGTAACATTGAACCTTCCTTTTGTCATACCTCTTCTTTCCTTTATGATATTTCTTATCATCAGAAGTTGAGGCTTCTGACTTCTGGAATCTATCACCACGTTTATTCTGCTTCTGGTCTTTCTTGATAAAAGAAGCCTTCAAAGCTTGCTCAACTTCCCTCTCAGAAGTTCTCCCAGACAGACGTAACTTCTGTGCTTCTAAGCTACTTTGTAACTCTTCTATTCTCATGGTTTCCAGATCTTTAGAATGTTCAATAGAAACAACAATGTAATCAAACTAAGGAGTAAGCGACCTCAGAATCTTCTCTATGATTACCTGTTCAGACAAAGTTTCTCCACACGCCTTCATCTCGTTAGTGATCAGAATCACTCTGGAGATATATTCAGAAACTTTCTCACTACTCTTCATGTTTAGGTTCTCATATTTCTTTCGTAGGGATTGAAGTTTCACCTTCTTTACTGATGCGTCACCATCGTAACATCTCACCAGTAACTCCTACGTCCCTTTTGACATTGTTGGATCAGCAATCTTCTCAAACACACTTTAATCCACATGAACAGAGCTTTCTGGTCCCTCTTCCTCATCATTCTCTCAACAGTTCTTTGTTCTTCAGTTGCATCTGCTGCAGCTGGTACATAACCAACTGTAACCAGATCTAGAACATCTTGCACACTAAACAACACACGCATTTGTATAATCCATCTGTTCTAGTTTTTGCCATTAAAAACTGGAAGTTTGGTGTTCATACTACTGCCTCCACTCATTTTAAACTTTGCACGAATTTTTCAGATCTTCAAACACACTGTTTCCTAACGCACATAATCAGATTCTGTTCAGATTTTGTCAAGATTTCAACAGAAAATCAATGAACCAAAATCAAACATAGCTCACAAACACTCGTGTTTCCCAGGAAAACAGAACCAAGTACTCTGATACCAATTTGTTGGTGCAAGATAATGAAAGGGAGAAGAAGAATGAACAATGAATGATAACAAAGAGGACTACTATTGTATATCAAATAGAGGAATGAATGGGTTACAATATTGATAGCCTAGGTAGCATATTTATACTAAAATTGAAAATGTCAAAAGACCATATTAAAGAATAAGCATTGGGAATTATAGACATTAATTAAATTATATTTTCAATATAACAGACTTTAACTAACGGAGTAGACAGAAGAGACTTGTTTGCATCGTTTTAAAAATTA